ACCCCACCCCGCGGGGTGCCCTGTGGTCAGGGGCACTCACACCCACCCCGCGGGGTGCCCTGTGGTCGGGGGGACAGCTCAGCCAAGGCTCCTGGGGCCAGCACGGCTGGCTCGGCAGCTGTGAGCGTCCTGTCCAGTCGCTGTCTGCGTGGCCGTGCCCTCGGCTCTCCCCCTCTGGGTCAGAGAGGTGCCGGCGGAGGCCATGGTGCTAAGACCGAAGCCATAGACGGCCGTGTTGAGTCTCAGGAGAAGCCATAGGTCACCTCGTCTCCCGCGTCAGCACGGCCACGGGCCTGAGGCTCCGAGGTGGGGCAGGTGTCCACGGAGGGAAAGGACCGGAGTCCTGGGAGACCGGTTCCCGCTGTTAGAAGAGTCAGCTGCAGAGCTGCGGAGGCCGGGTGGGCGGCTGGGAGGTGAGGATCTGGTTGAGGGATCCACACATCCGGCAAAGGGTGGCCTGCGTGGCACGGGTCCTGCTCACCGTCCGGCTGGGGACAGCGTCCTGGTGCCAGGGGCGGGCCTCGCAGAGGGCAGACAGCGTCCTGGTGCCAGGGGCGGGCCTCGCAGAGGGCAGACAGCGGCTTTCGGCGCGGTCACCTCTCACGGAGTGCCGGCATCCTCTGAAGACGGCGGGAGAGACATGGTAATTTGCGGCTAACAAGAGACTGGCCAGAACATGAAAAGAAGAGAGAAATGAGATGCCCACAGGAGTTGTTGGAAAACTCTCCTTTTCCTGGGGGTCTCGACAGAGCAGGCTTTTGGGGGCATTGGGATCCGCGCTCCCCGGTGTTTCTGGCCTGTCACCCCCCAGCACCCGCCGGGGTCTGTGCGGCAGGAGGACACCCTGGCCGTGTCACCCTTCGGGGCTCCCAGCCAGCGCCTCCCCCCCGGCCAGGCCCCTGTGGCCACTTCCTGCACAGTTTCCGGGGTGCTCCCTCAGACCGGAGGGAGGAACAGGAAAAGTGCTACTTCGCACAGGAAGTGGGGGTCAAAGGTAGGCGTTTCTTGCTTGGCATTGCCTTGTCCCTTTACTGGTTGGGGTTACTTATCTGACCTTTATTTTATTAAACATTTTTTCATTTCACTGGAAATTTTTCCTGCATCTAAGAGCTTCTGAGCAAGGAATTGGAAAGCGTCTCAAATGCAAGACCACACCCCTCTGCACCACACCCCTTTGTGCCACACCCCTCTATGCCTCACCCTCTGCACCACACCCCTCTGTGCCACACCCTCTGGTGGTCACCCGGCCTCCTCTCCCGATCACCTTCCAATGGCTACAGCAATGAGCCAGCCCTCCCTGAGACCGGCACTCCCCACTGACTGTGATGTGTTGATACCTCGGAAGCAGAGACCCCTGCGCACTGCTGCCTGCCTGCCCTCGGCCTTGGCAAAGGCCACCCAGGGCCTGATGGTCCCCACAGGCACCCTGCTTCTTGCTTTTATTACTACTTTTTTTTATTATTATTTTTCGTTAATCCTCACCCAAGGATATTTTCCCATTGATTTTTAGAGAGAGTGGAAGGGCAAGGGAGACACACGGAGAAACATGGCTGTGAGAGAGACACATCGATTGTGTCTCTCCTGCGTGCACCCCAACCAGGGCCAGAGAATCTACAACCAATTGACTGGAATTGAACCTGCAACCCTTCCACCCGCAGCCAACACTCTGTCCACTGGGCCAAACCGGTTAGGGCTGCTGCTTGCTTTTATAAGTCGTCGTGGCTCCGTGGTTGAGCAAGAACCTGTGAACAGGAGGTCACGACTCCATTGCCGGTCAGGGCACGGGCCCTGGGGCCAGGCTGGATCCCCAGTGGTGGGGCGTGCAAGAGGCAGCTGATCAACGGCGCTCTCTCATCGTGGATGTTTCTATCTCTGTCTCCCTCTTCCTTCCTCTCTGAAATCAATAAAAACATATTTTTTTTAAGTAGAACTAGCAAACCCAAGCGAGCCACTGTTTGTAGGGCGAGCCCGGGGGCGTCCCCGAACCTCCCCTGCCCACCAGGCTCTGCCCGAGCCCAGCTCACGTGGACCAGGGAGCAGCTGCGCCCTCCCATGTTGGGAGCTAGCAGAGTTGAGGCAAGCAACTCAGTCTTAAGGAAATAGAATTAAGTTCCTTCTAGCAGAGGTTGTGTGGTGCCCTGAGGGCTTGGCCAGAAGATAAGATTAACCTGGGGCTTAGCATCTCCTGTCTTCCTGCCTCTTTCCCTTCCTGATCCTCCCCCCCTAGATAGCCCAGCCTTGGAATGTTGCACCTTGGAATGTCACACCGCCTCTGGCAATTAGTCAATCCTGTGTTGCCATACCAAAGACCCCCCTGCATAGGCGGCCCTGCCCCCCTTTGTCTCTGCTGTATAAATACAGCCATTTCAGAGAATAAAACTGAGGCTTGATCAGAACCTTGTCTTGCCTCCATTCTTTCCGCGTTCCTTGTTTGATTCATTCTCTTAGGTGGTTCCTGCGTGCCCCCCGTTGTTGTCCCGTGGGTCGGGACAAAATGGCGCCCAACTCGGGGTACTTCTGAGAATCTCTAGCGAGAACGTCTACCGGAGAAGCCCTGGCCAGGCACCCCCCAGAGTCGCCGCGAGGACCCGCAAGTGAAGACTCAGCACTAGATCGCCACGGTCCGCCCGCCGTGAGACAGATCAAAGTAAAGGTAGGTAGACGATTTTTCAAACAAGATTTCAGAACATTTCACCCCTTTTTTTTTGCTCGATTGTTATTATTGGTTCTCTTGGTTGGTTTCTTCCTGCCCACTAATAAGCACTCACTTGCCGATCCGGGGAAGAGTGAAAGGTACCCGTCTTTGGCTGTGAGAACTCCGATTCACTTGAACTAGTACCACCTCCCGGTTTTCTTGGCGAGAATCCTCTCCAATTAGATCTACTCTTAAAACCTTGAGCTTGCTTTGAACAAAAAGTCGTTCACCCCACAGACTCAACCACGGGAGACCTGCGCGCCTGAGGAGGGCAAACGGGGTCTCCCTGTCTGTGAGGATCCGTGTAGGCGGATTATACCTACTGACCATTTCACGCAAGCAAGGGAGTAAAGGGTAGAGTCGAAAAGAGAGTAATTCCGCCTGAATTCCTGGGTTGACGAGAAAATTCAAGCTGACCTGGCACGGGGTTTATACGTCCAGGAGGCTTACGTGGAGAAGGAATCTCTTTGAGAGCCATCCAATCGACCAATAATGGGGAATGCTTTAAGTTGTCATGAAATGTTCCTTGACGGTGTCAAGATTTCCCTCAGAACGCGAGGAGTAAGGGTTAAGAAAAAAGAATCTTAGAAAAAGGGCTCAGGGAGTCCAGTCCCCTCAGGCACGAGGAATTAAGGCTAGAAAGAAAAGGATCTTAGAAATGAAAGTGCTCTTTAGAGTGAATGTTGAAGTCTATGTGATCACAAAATAATGTTTTTTGTTGAAATTAGAATCTTAGTATATGTATAGAATTTAAAATCTATAATAAGTGGAACTCCACTGCTGAAACTACCTCTGACTTAATGCCTTGTTTAAAAATTATAAGAAAACTCACAGGGAAATGCAAATCTTGACCAAATTGGGTATTAATTATTATTTCAGAAAGCCAAAAAGGAAGAAAGAAATTGAGATCTGTCTATTTTTTAAGCATGAAAAGAAATTCAGCCAGATCTGTTGCTGATGCTTCCCCTGAAGTAAGCAGAATGTGGGGGAAGGGAGAGACATGAGACGATCCAATATAGAAGCCCGCTCTCCTAGTATATTAAATTAAAAATTTCCTTTCTCGCCATAAAAAAGCTTTAAAAATTTAGAAATGTGTCTGGGATATCTGTGCATGTATAAGGAGTAAGCTAGTATAAGACTAAATGCGCGCTCGTCCGATTTTGGATATTAGATAAGTCTTGAACTAGCCTTAACTTTTTACAAGAGCTACAGAAATGAAAAACCAGAACTGATTCTTTTTCCTGAGAAAAACAGTGAAAAAATCTTCTTGAAAGAAATTCAAGCTAATTCCAGCAACAATATTCGCATTTCCATAATAAGGAATAGTTTTCAAAATGCTAGTGAACCTTTTTAAAAAAGTTAACTTTTAAGGCCTTCAAGAAAATAAGTAAATTAGTCTCTATCATAGAATTTATCCAAAGTAAATACTTTAAAGATCTAAGTAGTCCAGATAACTGGCTACATCCTTTGTTGAGGGAAGAAAGGGTAAAGATCCTTCCCCCAGCAGACAGTTAAGATAGTGTCCTGCCAGTAGCCATCTTAAAGAATGTGTCCCAGAGCCACTGGCAAATAAAAATTAAAGTTCAAATTTGCCTCATAAAAAACCTAGAGGACAGAATTGAATCTATTGATTATGTCTTGTATTTTTCTTAGAAATGTAAAGTGTTAGTTGGTCTGAAGGTTGTGGGTTATTGTTAAGCTGATTAACATAAAAGTGTTATTAATCTAAGAACTACTAAATATATTTGACTTGCCAGTTTTAAAAATTCAAAGTTCAAATTAAATTAGGAGAAATTGTAGAGTTGTAGTGATTAAATACTTAAAGCATAAAAACTTATTTTTAAGAAAATAAAATGTATTTCCTCTAATAATTAGGAATTCAAAATAAGTTGCTTGTTATTGATCTAATTAGAAAGAGAATTAATTCTGTGATCTCCACCAAAAATTTTTCTATACAAAAACTAGCCTAAATCTAATTGATGTCTTAAGATAATAGTGGATAATAATATATTAAATGTTGTGAAGGTTTTCGCCTGTGGGAAAGGCAAAAACAATATATTTCTTAAATATAGCCAAATTTTTCAACAGCAATAAAATTTCAAGAAAGACAAAAGCCATGCTTTTGGATCAGACCAATAAAATCTTTTTAAACTAAAAATACCTGCTTAAGTTACTTTATAAATTAGTTTTTACAATATTATCAATGTCATATAAATTAAGTTACATGAGAAGCCAATGTTTTATAAATAATTGAATCCTAACTGTATGTGGCTGCCTACATTTTAATTAAGCTAAAGGCAAGGCAACATTTGTGGCTTATGAATTCAAAAGTAAATTTGTTTTATTTTTAAAGTAAAGATACCTTGCCATGATAGCAATCAGCACCTGTGCATTGCTACAGGTTGCCCAAGACCAAGGGCAAGGAAGATCGGTGTACACACCCTTCTACATAGAAGCCAAAATACTTAATATTTTATATTCTACCGGGAACCCTAGCTTAGGGGCTTAATTTATATCTAACACAGGGAATAGTATTAACTACCACAGTAAAAGAAATTTTTTATCTCAGGTATTAACCATTTCTACAGATAGATCCAGTTCTAGAAAGGCTAGATATACTACAACAGAGAAGCAAAGGTCCTTCAAACCTCTTATATTTCAATAGAAATACAAGCTCTTATTTATGCCTTAACAGATTTTACTTTACAGAGCCCATCAGTCTATAGTAATAGTACTTCTATGGTAAATATAGCAAAAATTATTAAAACAGCTACTATAAGGCACATTAATTCAGAGGAACTTTTCATTTAACTTTCAGTCTCTAAAATGTTATTTGAGAATGGCAATTTCCATATTTTATTAGAAACAATGTCCTCAATATTATCCAACTTCCTATACCAACCTTAGGAATAAATCCCCGAGGACTTAAACCTAATCAAATCTGGTCAAATAAATGTCACTCAGTGGTAGAAAGAGCCATTCATACGCTTAAGATCATTTTAAAAACAAAAAAGGAGGAGACAGATACTATGTGTCACCTCAAGAGAAGCTCAGTCATACTTTTAAAAAAATTTTAAATTGTGATGCAGATCATACAGCAGGCGAAAGGCATCAGGCCTCCTGTACAATAGTCTCCACCGAGTCAGCTAGGTGGAAGGAAGCATAAACCAGAAAAGAGTTTTATCAGATTCAATAATAATGCGGGGCTAGGAGTGGTTGTACATTCTTATACTAAGTTATCTAATCAAGTAATCAATGATGTCCAAGCTCTCTCTAGTACCATTAATGATCTCCAAGACCAAATTGACTCCTTAGCTGAAGTTGTTCTACAAAATAGGAGAAGGTTAGACTTACTCAGAGCAGAGCAGGGAGGGATATGCTTAGCCCTACAGGAACGTTGCTGTTTCTACGCCAAGTCTGGAATCGACTGAGACAAAATCAAGAAACTACAGGAAGACCTGATAAAGTGGCGGAAAGAACTGTTCGAGAACCCTCTCTGGAGCGGACTAAACGGACTTCTCCCCTACCTTCTCCCCATCCTGGGCCCCCTCATAGGTTTCTTATTAATCTTATCCTTTGGCCCCTGGGCTTTTTGGAGGTTAACAGATTTTGTAAAACAACACATTGACAGCATCTTGGCCAAACCCATCCAGGTACATTACCACCGTTTAGCTATAGCTGATCATGAGCAAGATTATGAACTTTACCATCGCTCCCTCCCTGCGGGGACAGCATGATGACCAGAGGAATGCTTACCTACTCCCCACTAAGGAGAAAGATATGGGTGCTGAGCAAAGCATTGCAAGGGAAGGTCCAAAAAATTTTCCGACCCCCTCTTCCCAAGGGAAGGTCACGGGAAAATTTCGACCCCCTCTGGATTTCCCTGTAAGCATACCTGGTTTGCACAGAGGTTGGTATCAATACAAATCCAGTAGGCTCTGCCTCTCCTCCCCAAAAGATACCAAGAGCCACTAACACTGGTGGGCCTGGGAAGCCCACGGGAGGAACCAGGTCACTACTCCCCCAATCGGTTAAGGCCCACCCTCAATTAAGACAAAGGGAGGAGATGTTGGGAGCTAGCAGAGTTGAGGCAAGCAACTCAGTCTTAAGGAAATAGAATTAAGTTCCTTCTAGCAGAAGTTATGCGGTGCCCTGAGGGCTTGGCCAGAAGATAAGATTAACCTGGGGCTTAGCATCTCCTGTCTTCCTGCCTCTTCCCCTTCCTGATCCTCCCCCCTAGATAGCCCAGCCTTGGAATGTTGCACCTTGAAATGTCACACCGCCTCTGGCAATTAGTCAATCCTTTGTTGCCATACCAAAGACCCTCCTGCATAGGCAACCCTGCCCCCCTTTGTCTCTGCTGTATAAATACAGCCATTTCAGAGAATAAAACTGAGGCTTGATCAGAACCTTGTCTTGCCTCCATTCTTTCCGCGTTCCTTGTTTGATTCATTCTCTTAGGTGGTTCCTGCGTGCCCCCCCCGTTGTTGTCCCGTGGGTTGGTTCACTCCCAGCCCGGAGGGCGGCCGGGGCACTCCCAGCCCGGAGGGCGGCCGGGGCGATAGGAGAGCGTTGCTGTTGCGGGCGCCAGGTCCCTGGGGAAAGATTAACAGGCCGCGGTGCGCTCAGATTCCTCGCCCCGGGGTACAGAGGAGGGCTGTTTGTGGTGCCGCAGGAGGCAGGACAGACGGGGGAGTGATGTTGCAATCCACACATCTGGCCTGGACGTGCTGGGGCGGGTCAGGGGGGCGGTGAGGGGAGCAGCGGAGCAGGCCGGGCTGGAGGCCGCGCAGGTCCGTGCACAGCGGCTCTCAGTGCGCTCCGCTCACATTGGACTTTCCGCCGAGCCGGCCGCCGGGACCTGCTCCGGGGCCTCCACCCGCGGCCGCCGCCACGATGCCCACGGTGGACGACGTGCTCGCCCAGGTCGGGGAGTTCCACCTCTTCCAGAAGCAGACATTCCTCCTCCTCGCCCTGCTCTCGGCCGCCATGCCCCCCATCTACGTGGGCATCGTGTTCCTGGGCTTCACCCCCGAGCACCACTGCCGCCCGAGCCCGGGAGCGGCCCAGCTGAGCCGGCGCTGCGGCTGGAGCCCGGCCGAGGAGCTCAACCTCACGGTGCCCGGCCCGGGGCCCGCGGGCGAGGCCTTCCCCCGCCGCTGCCGCAGCTACCAGGTGGCCTGGAACGGCAGCGGCCTGGGCTGCGCGGACCCGCTGGCCGGCCTGGCCGCCGACCGCAGCCTCCTGCCGCTGGGCCCCTGCGGGCACGGCTGGGCGTACGACACGCCCGGCTCCTCCATCGTGACCGAGGTGAGTGAGGCGGGACTCGCACCGACGGCGAACGGCGCCGTCCACGGACAGGAGCACGGACAGCCTGCTGAGCCTCAGCGGGAAGGCCGGGGAGGGCGGGTGGGAAGAGATCAGCCAACGATCTTGTGTGCATCCAGGCATCAGCGTGGACAATGGGGGGTGAGGGCGGGGGAGTGACGAGAGCGGGCTGGAAGAGGTTAACGGGGGAAAGGAGGACTTGTGGAATGCTATCAACAACGAGGATAAACATTTAAGGGGAGAGTGTAGCCAATGAGGCCCATGCACGCTCTTTGGACTCGGGGTGTCTTAGAAAGCCCCAGTGTCTGACAAACACAGGCAGCCTCTCATTTGTCTGGAATGCGAGTGGATTTGCCAAAACCTGGTCAGATTCTACCATGATTCTCCTGTATGCAACTCCCGGCAGGAAGGAACCAGCAAAAGCCCGGGAGAATCCCGGAAATAACGCGGGGAAGGGAAGGATTCAGGCCCCCTCTTCCTCTGGCAGCCCCGCCGCCCCCTCCTCGCTCCCTCATGCAGAGGGGCCCGCAGAGCCCGAGGGCCACCCGAGCTGTGCAGGTGGCTCTGTGCCCTGCGCTCCTGCTGGCCAGCCGTGGGGGGAGCTTCTGCCATGGCTCCCTACGTTATTGAAAACCAGAGGCGACGTTAGCATCGTTAGCATCCAATAGCAAAAGCTCATTCCAATAAATATAGAGAGAAAAAAACCCAAAAAACAGAGATGTGCTTTCCCTAGAGGCAAAGCAAAATGGGGGAGGGCGATCGCTCTGAGAACACGGAGCTTGCCGCTGCCCGGCTCCTTGGAAAGACTGCGTGGCTCCAGTGCAGACAGTCAGCTCCAGGGCCCTTCGTAAGGACCTGAGATGGTCTGGGAGTCGCATAAAATGCTGAGTCACAGGCTCAGCCCCACACAACACTGAGGCTTTACAGCGGATACGTCACCCCCCCCTCGGAAACGGGAAAACGGAGGCCGGGAGCCGGGGAGGGTTACCCCCCGAGGCCACGGCCTGAGAGGGTTCGCCGTCAGCCCTGACGGAATCGCCTGTCCCTCCGTGCACACCGCTCCGGTCCCAGGCAGAGCAGGTGTCCCAGCCTCCGCCAGGCGCTCACAGGCATCAGCAGGGCGGGGAGTGTCCAGCCCGGGGGCCGTCCAGGCCCTGCCAGGGCGGGAGGGGTGAGTTCTCAATGTTTGGCCAAATATTGCAGGCTGGTTTTTAAGCTGATTTTAATTTTGTATGGCCCGAGAACGATGTGACCAATATTCAAATGGTTTGGCTCAGTGGCCTGTGGACTGAAGGGTTCCAGGTTCGATTCCAGTCAAGGGTACATGCCCGGGTTGTGGGCTAAATAAATAAATACCAAATGGCCCTTGGCAGGAAAAAAAAAATACACTCCCTGCCCCCCTCCCCTGGCCTTAAAGAGACAGTAAAGAGACCAGCAACAGCCCAGCCTTCTCCAGACAGCCTCTGTGGCTGCTCACACGCCTGTCTGCTTCCGGGAACTACATTAGAGAGGGCACTGGTTCTGGGCAGAAACGAAGTCACTACCAGTTTCAGCCGATGCCGCCCACAACGGGGTTTAGCCAGGCGGGATGCTGCGCAGGTGGCGGGACACAGCTTTTGTGGGGAGACAATTAGCACAACGGCGAGGAGACGGCCCACGGGTCCGTGCGGGGACACAGGGCAGCCCCAGGCCGGGGCGGGTCTGACCGGCTCTGTTTCTCTCCCTCGGACGGGGGACCCGCGGCCCTCGGCAGTTTAACCTGGTGTGCGCTGACGCCTGGATGCTGGACCTGGTGCAGGTGGCCGTGAACCTGGGGTTTTTCCTCGGCTCCGTGGGCATCGGCTACGTGGCAGACAGGTGGGTGCCTCGGGCTCCGGGAGCGTGGGTTCTGCCGTCCCCGCCGGAATGCCGGCTTCTCCGAGCCCACAGCCTGCAGGGCCTGCCTGGCAGCACGCCGGCCACCTCAGGCTCCCTCTGTCACCCCCGTCCTCCGGGACCTCAGAGAGGGCTCTGGATTCGGCAGTGGCTCTGCCCAGGGCCAGGTGCCAGGGAGGGGAATAGAGGGTCTGGCCCAAGTCCTCCTCCTCCTGTGTGTCCCCACCCCCGTCCTGAGCCTCCGGCCTCTGAGTCCGTGGTCCTCGCCTGCCTGTCCTGTGCCCACATCGATGCCCGCTGCCCCATGGCCGGACTCTCAGGGCCCAGGGCCGAGGCGATTGTAGGCGTGGAGCCAGGACGGCGTGGGTGAAAGGAGGGCCGGTCTACACGGAGAGGGTAGCTCTCCACTGCCCCAGAGTCGGTGTGGCTGGAGAGAGGCGAGGGAGCCGCCGAGGGGGGACATCACAGGTGGTCCCCTCAGTGGCCTGTCTTCAGGGCTGCTGTCCCATGACGCCCAGCCCCCCAGAACTGTCCTGTACCCATCACCAGGGGACCCCAGACTCCCTGCGCTGAAAGCTCCTCACACGGACCCCTGCTCTGCTGGTGGCCAGTGCGGTGTGTGCAGGAGCCCTCAAAGGACAGGGAACAGAAAAAGGGGCTTTATGCTGGACAAGCACTTTGGACCGCTTGGCCATCAGGGCTGACGGTTTAATCCTCACCTGCCTCTGTTCACACAGTGTTTCCCCGTGTTTCCGTGTGCCAACCACGTGCTCAACATTTGGGACATCATCGGTTACCTAGTGAGAGAGATTTAGAAACACATCTAAGTTATATAATCGCATAGTTTTATATAAATATGCAATTTTATGTAAATATATACTATGTAATGTTATATGAATATGCAATTGTTATCATACTAGGGGCCCTGGCTGCCTCAAGGCCCCTTGGCCCCGCCCTTGACGGTTCCAGAAGGTCATTCTAGTTAGCGTGTTAGCTCTATTATATAGGATAGCAAAACACAATCTATGTTTAATTCTGAACTAAGTGGTAAGGTAAATATGCTTTATGCTATATTTACCATCCCAACTCTATCTAGGGTCTAGATAAACCCAGCCTTGGGAACACACTATTAAATGTAAATGGGCCATTTTCTCTGATTATAGTCTATTGTCAGGCTATGTTAAAACTCACATCATGTTAAACTGAAGGCCAGCTTCATCTATCACACTCCCAGGGGCATCTGCATGCTCAAAGCTGTGCCCACTCTGGTAGCAGGAGGGGAGGGGGAAAGGGTGGGGAGGGGGGAGGAAAGAAGGTCTGGAGAGGCTGGACTGCCAGCAGCCCCATGCACCACACCACTTCCGGGACTGTCTGCTCAGCTCCCTTCCAGGCTGCTCCTGGGACTCTGAGGCAGAGAGGAAGGAAGGTCATTCGCTCTCATGTTTGTGGCCTGGGCGCTGAGGAGAGCTGTTCGGAGACGACCCCTGAGGTCAGGAGACGCGGAGGGAGGGGCGGGTCCAGAGTCCCCTGTGCTCACCCAGCTGTGGCCTCCGCTGGCTCCCCGGACAGGAGGGAGCAGAGAGCCGCGGGTTAATTATTCTCCTCCACTCAGAGGAGGAGCGGGTCCCAGTGTTCTCCTCACAGTGCGTTCCCGGTGGGTCATCCCGTCAGTCACCACCGCCTTCAAGGCCTCAACGTGACTCGTGCCCTTCACACCCGGGAGAGCCGATCGCTCACTGCTCTCCCTCCAGAGGCTGGTCCTTCCCGCCGCTGGGTCTTTCTCTTTCTTTTCCTAAAGTGTCTGAACTTCTGTGGGTTTTGCCTCTTTTTCTGTTCTCTTTGTGGGTGCAGGGCTCAAAAAAAAAAAGCAATTTATATTTTTCATACTCAGTGCCTATTGCTGAACAGTTTCCAGATTGATACAAGAACCTCATGGAAATCTCTTTATTGCTACAGAATAAACCAACACTAAATAGATTGTTTTCTGTGAGAGTTTTAAAGAATGTGACCTGACAGATCATTACAGGGTCTTGTCAAAGAAAACTGGGGCGGGGGGGGGGGTGGGGGGGGAGGCAGATTATGAAAAAGTTGTAAATATGAATGCAGAGCCTGACACCAAGTCACTTTCTGGAGGTCAGCTTTGCACGTGGAAAGTGGGAAGGAGAGGAGAGGAGAGGGGGAGGGGAGGGAGGGAGGGAAAGGAAGAAGGACCCAGGTCAGGGAACTTGAAGACAAACTTCCTATCGGATACCTAATTGGTTTCCTCACCCACAACCTCCTGAAGAATGAGTGTGAGGATCACCTGACCCCAACAAGGAATCTCTCACCGCGCCCAGGTTTCTGTTCTCACCATCAGTAATCACAAGTGCCACACAGAGCGTATTCGGTCCGTGTTGGCAGCTGGCTCAGGGGAAGGCCCGATTGGCAGCTTGTGCAGCTCCCCGTGGTGTAAACACTCCCGCACGGCCCTCTGGGAGCTGCCGAGGGAGGCCCGAGCACCGGGCTGCTGGGGCCGGCACCGCCTCGCCCCCCCCCCCCCTCCGCACACAACGGAAAGACACAGATCCGCTCTCATGGGCAAACACGTGGCACACCTGGGAACTCATAGTTAGACATCCCTATTGCACGCGCTTTTAAATGTAATTTACCTCATTGTAAGCATCTACTGTAACTCTGAGGGCTGTGTGACCACCAGCTCCCAGCGTGTCTAAAAACGTGACCTGAGCTCTCGGGAGCCAGGGCCTCCGGAAGGGATGGGACTCGCTCAGAGCAGAACCACAGTCCCCGTGGGTCCCCGTCCACCTACCCAACCACGTGGATGCTCCCCAGGGAGGACTCCGCCATGCCAGTCCCCGGGCGGCACCCCGCACCTCGTGTTTCCGGCAGGGTCAGGGCAGCCTGCAGAAGGAGACCTGAGGCCCGGCCGGTAGCTCGGTTGGTTAGAACGTCGTCCCAATACACCAAGGTTGCAGGTTCGATCCCTGGTCAGGGCACATACAAAACTCACCCAATGAACGCATAAACCATCACCCAATGAACGCATAAATCAGTGGGACAGAAACTGCGGTTTCTCCCTCTCTCTGTGTCGGGGGAGGGGGTGGTGGAGGGGGGAGAAGGGGCGTTGATCGTTCCCCGTTTTGCAGAGGAACACACGGAGGCCCGGGGAAGTGAAGCGTGTTCCCCGATGTTAGAGCACAGATGAGCCCGCCCGCAGGGACTGTGGGAATCCAGACTCGGGAAGGACAGCCCTGGCCCTCACTCCTCCCAGCGTGGGGCTGAGCGCCCCGGTCCTGAGCGGCTGCTGTGCCCAACGCGCCCACAGAGCCACCGAGGAACGGTCTGGCCCAGGACCGGCCCGGCCGGCTGGTGTCCGTCGCTCAGAAGTCAGATCTCCGTGGCCCGTGGCGTCCCACGGCCGCCGTGCGCCTGACTCGGTCTCTCCCTCCCCGTGTCTGCTCCGCGCAGGTTCGGCCGGAAGCCCTGCCTCCTGCTCACCATCCTCGTCAACGCCACGGCGGGAGTGCTCATGGCCGTGGCCCCGACCTACCCCTGGGTCCTACTGTTCCGCCTGGTGCAGGGGCTGGTCAGCAAGGTGGGCTGGCTGATCGGCTACATCCTGAGTAAGACGCCCGGACGGCCGGGGGGAGCTCAGGGTGGGCGCTGCCAGCACACAGGCAGGCGGGGGGGGGGGGTGCAGGCAGGTGGGGTGGTGGGCAGGTGGGGGGATGGCAGGCAGGAGGGGGGGACAGGCAGGTGGGGGTGGCGGGCAGGTGGGGTGGTGGGCAGGTGGGGGGATGGCAGGCAGGAGGGGGGTGGCAGGCAGGAGGGGGGAGCAGGCAGGTGGGGGTGGCGGGCAGGTGGGGTGGTGGGCAGGTGGGGGTGGCAGGCAGGAGGGGGGAGCAGGCAGGTGGGGGTGGCGGGCAGGTGGGGTGGTGGGCAGGTGGGGGGATGGCAGGCAGGTGGGGGGGTCAGGCAGGTGGGGGAGGCAGGTTTAGGGTTAGGGTTAGGATGAGGGTTAGGGTGAGGAAAGGATGCCAAGGGGTGCCATTGGCTGCCCGCCACAGCTATCCGGCGGCAGTGTGGCTGCTGGAACACGTGTGTGGGACTCTGAGGAATTCACCTGCAGGAACTGAAACTGCCTCAGCCTCCACGCCTCTCCCTCCGGCCCCTTGGCACTGCCCAGGGAAGCCTCCGGCGGGCGGAAGCCTCTGTGGCCGGCGGGCACCTGTTTAGGGAGCACTCCCTCTGTCTGACTCCGCAGAAAGTGCTTCCGGGTCATCCGCAGCGTCCACAGAAACATTGCTGGGGCGCCTTTCTGTTTGGTTCATAAAGGGCTGAAGCCTTGGACACAGCCACCAACACTCTAACCAGAAACAGCGGCCCGTGGACCATCTCGAATCCCAATTCCCGTGCGTGTGCTGCTCCCGCGTCCTGGCGGTGCAGAGTGCATGGGCGCCGTGATGCCACGGGTGGCGCGGAGCTGGTGGTTTTAGCACGTGGGGGGGGCGTGCTGGCGGACTGGCTCGAGGAAAAGGAAAGCCGCGATTTATCGTGTTATAAATGTCTCCGAGTTACAAACGCTCCCCCCGTGGCAGATGTTTGAGGCGCCCGTGGGGTGAGCAACCAGCTCGCAGAACCCCAGGGCATTTAACGTCCGTGTGCGGGAGCCGGGCCCGTGGCTCCAGGGGGGACCCCGCGAGCCGCCCAGGCCGCGCCCACACACTGACGGGGGCCGGGAACGTGTACCTGGCGGGGAGAGGCTCCACGGAGGAAAGCCGGCCTCCACCGGAGTTCCGTGCGGGCTCACGTGCTCCGGTTCTGAGTGATCACGGCCTCGTCCTCTGCGTCAGCACTCTGCGTGGATCGGAAATGCGATGGCCTCTGTCCCTGAAATTATCCTGGAAATCAGACGTGTTGCTCACCACCCCATCTAATGTAGGACTATGAGATTTTTCCATAAACTAGCTCCATGGCAGTAATTCTAACACAGGCGTAGGGAACATTTTGTTTTTATTTATTTGTTTTTATTTTTTTATAGGAGTTCCGTTCTTAGGGAGCATTTTAAAGCTGCGGAAGAGGCATAGAAAGGTCTAGACGCTTGGGGGTTGGCGTCCTGGGTCGGCGGGGGGGGGGGACGGCCGCGGCCGGGCGGCCCGCTGACGCTCGGCTCTCCCGCAGTCACGGAGCTCGTGGGGCTGAGCTACCGGCGCACCGTGGGCATCTGCTACCAGGCGGCCTTCTCCGTGGGGCTGCTGGCGCTGGCGGGGGCGGCCTACGTGCTGCCGCACTGGCGCTGGCTGCAGTTCGCCGTGACCGTGCCCAACTTCTGCTTCCTGCTCTACTACTGGTGCGTCCAGCCGCGGCGGGGAAACCGGTGCCGTGTTTTTCCTGCCTTCCGCAACGCACCCTCCTCCGTGTGCCCGGGGACCTCCCATCCTGTCCCCCCTCCGTGCACCCTCCTCCGTGTGCCCGGGGGCCTCCCATCCTGTCCCCCCTCCAGGCACCCTCCTCCGTGTGCCCGGGGACCAGCCATCCTGTCCCCCCTCCATGCACCCTCCTCCGTGTGCCCGGGGGCCTCCCATCCTGTCCCCCCTCCGTGTACCCTCCTCCGTGTACCCGGGGACCTCCCATCCTGTCCCCGCTCCGTGCACCCTCCTCCGTGTGCCCGGGGACCAGCCATCCTGTCCCCCCTCCATGCACCCTCCTCCGTGTGCCCGGGGACCTCCCATCCTGTCCCCCCTCCGTGCACCCTCCTCCGTGTGCCCGGGGACCTCCTCTCTGTCCCCCCTCCAGGCACCCTCCTCCGTGTGCCCGGGAACCACCCATCCTGTCCCCCCTCCGTGCACCCTCCTCCGTGTGCCCGGGGGCCTCCCATCCTGTCCCCCCTCCGTGCACCCTCCTCCGTGTGCCCGGGGGCCTCCCATCCTGTCCCCCCTCCGTGCACCCTCCTCTGCATGCCCGGGGGACCTCGTCTCCTGTCCCCTTCCCCCCCAGGCCCACCGAGTAGACTTCCCTGGCGCTCAAGGGGTGTCCCTGGCTGTGCAGCCCCCGCCCCGCTCCCTCTCCTCTGCTGGTGCCTCGCTGAGCGAGGTCCCTCCCAGAAACCGGGGGGCGTGGGGGCGGGCCCGGGTGCCCCTCCGCTCACCCCGCCGCCGCCCGGAACCCAGGTGCGTGCCCGAGTCCCCGCGGTGGCTGCTGTCCCAGCACAGACACGCCGAGGCCACGCAGGTGCTGCGGCTCATCGCCAGGAGGAACGGCCAGGCCGTGCCGGCGGCGCTCCAGGTGAGCCGGGGCGGAGGGCGGGAGCGGCCAAAACGGCAGCAGGGCCTCCCTTCCGTGGGGCCAGGAGTCGTGGTTCCCTGTCAGACGTTTCAAACGGGCGGGCGGGGGGAAGCACAGTCACCTGCAGGGGAGGCGCCATCATCATAAACAGGGGGCACCCTTATCTGTGCCTGGGTTACCCCCAGACTCCAGCTTCCTCTCCTGGGAGATGGGGACCCGCGCACCCATGTCCAGGACGTGCAGGACGGGGGAGCGGGCTGTGGGGGGGTGGAGCGGCTGCGGGACAGCACTCAGCGGGTGGACTGCGCCCTCCCGGGGCGGGGCCCTCCGCTCACACACCGATGGTCCTCGCGTGTCCAGTGCCTCCGAGCCGAGGAGGAAGCCGGCGAGAAGCCGAACCCGTCCTTCCTCGACCTGGTCCGCACCCCCCAGATCCGGAAGCACACCCTGGTCCTGATGTACAACTGGTAAGGCCTGCTCTTCCCTCAGGCCCTTCCGAGGCCCAGGGCCGAGCGTCAGCCTGTGAGCTCAGTCACGGTCAGATTCCCGGTCAGAGCGCGGGCTGTGGGCGCGATCCCCAGCGGGGGGTGTGCAAGAGGCAGCTGATCCGAGATTCTCTCTCATCATGGATGTTTCTCTCTCCCTCTCCCTTCCTCTTTGAAATCAACAAAAACATGTTTTTAAATAAAACATTAAAAAAATCCGTCCAAATTCTTCTCATCCCGATCACTCGCCTTGTGGGAGGGAACAAGACTCCTCCAAACAGCCGGGTCCCAGGGTCCGTGTCGGCGCGGGCAGCGAGGCGGCCCGTCTGCAGCCGTTTCCCTGGCGCCACGCTGCTCGGGCAGATCCGGCATCGGTCCGGCGCCAAAGCCCAGCCGGCCTCCCAGCCTGGCTCCCCCCCTCGGCGTCGCCCGGAGCCCGCCCGCCCAGAACACTGTGAATTAACCGAGGGAAAGGGAGAACCCCCCTTTACAGCCACACAGAGGGCCCCTGGCACAGCTCGGCCGATGCCGGCTGCCGATCTCTTCAACGGTGCAGGGCTGGCAAGGAAAGGGCCTTTCCCGTCTCTTCTTCCTGGAGAAGTAGCGCTTTTTAAAAAATATCTTTTTCTTTTTTCTTTTTTTTAAAATATATTTTATTGATTTTGTACAGAGAGGAAGGGAGAGAGATAGAGAGTTAGAAACATCGATGAGAGAGAGTCATCGATCAGCTGCCTCTTGCACACCCCATACTGGGGATATGCCCGCAACCAAGGTACATGCCCTTGACCGGAATCGAACCTGGGACCTTTCAGTCCCCAAGCCAACGCTCTATCCACTGAGCCAAACCGGTTTCGGCTAAAAAATATCTTATTGACTCTTTACAGAGAGGAAGAGAGAGGGATAGAGAGTTAGAAATATTGATGAGAGAGAAACATCGATGAGAGAGAAACATGGATCAGCTGCCTCCTGCACACCCCCAATGAGGATGTGCCCCCAACCAAGGCACATGCCCTTGACCGGAATCGAACCCAGGACCCTTCAGTCTGCAGGCCGACGCTCTATCCACTGAGCCACACCGGTTTCGGTTTCGGCGAGAAGGAGCTTTTGAACAGGAATGAGCCGGTGGCTCCGCAAGCAGGGCCTCAGGCCTGATGGTGCCCGCTGCCTGCAGGCTGCTCTGCGGCCCAGCGCCGCCCGCACCGCACCCTCCCGTCAGCGCCCACGGTGACGCACCCGCCACCTAAAGAGCCACCATCCCCAGCACAGCGGAGCCCGTGGGCGCCAGTTCAGCCCCGTCACAGCACTGCGTGAAAACACGCAGCCGTGAAATTAGGCCTCGAGCTCCTGCTTCCTTTAACTGAGTCACGGCAGCTCTTGCAAACCGTCCTCACATTCCCCAGTGAGACAATGAGCGCTCCGTCCACAACCCAGAAGCAGCGTCAGATGTCACTTGCTTGGCGGCGGGAGAAGACACTGAGCAGGGAGCTGCCGTGGGCCCTGTGCTCCCCAGAACGCGAAGTAGCCCGGGTCCTCTGCTCCCAGCGTTAGGAGCCCAGAGGGGCACCCCCACCGAGCACCCGCAGGTTTTACTAAGTAACCCGCTCCTGAGACAGGGCCTCCGCCTGTCGGAGCGGCCAGGGGTGCTCTCCTCCGTTCTCCCCGTCCTGGCTCCGAGGCCGCTGCCGGCCGCCCCCGGGCCAGAGAGTGAAAACGCAGTGGGCGTAAGGCCGTGGTCGGCAAAGTGCGGCTCTGGAGCCACCTGCAGCTCTTGGGCCCCTGGAGTGTGGCTCTGCCACAAAACACCACGGCCTGGGCCAGTCTGTGTTGAAGAAGTGGCGTTGGAAGAAGTTTAAGTTTAAAAATGTGGCTCTCCAAAGGAATGTGAGTCGCTGTGCTGTTGATATTTGGCTCTGCTGACTGATGAGTTTGCCGACCACGGTTGTAAGGACTAGGAGTAAGAAGAGGGTGGCCTGGGGCCAGCCCTGGCGCTCCCAGAAGCCCCCTCCCGGACGGCGCCGCCAGCCTGACCCGCGCTCCTCCCACCCAGGTTCACCAGCTCCGTCCTCTACCAGGGCCTCATCATGCACCTGGGCCTGGCGGGGAGCGACATCTACCTGGACTTCTTCTACTCGGGCCTGGTGGAGTTCCCGGCCGCCCTGCTCATCCTGCTCACCATCGACCGCGTGGGCCGCCGCTGGCCCTGGGCTGCCGCCAACATGGTGGCAGGGGCGGCCTGCCTGGCCTCCGTGTTCCTCCCGGAAGGTGAGTGCCCGCCACGGTCCTGGGAAGCGGGTGCCCAGCCCCTGACAGGAAGGCCGTGGACGTCACCATCCAGGTCGATGTGGAACGAACCCACTACCGGGACCTTCATGACACACACACACACACACGTGCCTTTTTTTTTTTTTTTAATATTTCTTATTGATTTTTTTTACAGAGAGGAAGGAGAGGGCTAGAGAGCCAGAAACATCAATGAGAGAGAATCATCCATCAGCTGCCTCCGGCACACCCCCTACTGGGGATGTGCCCGCAACCAAGGTACATGCCCTTGACCAGAATCGAACCTGAGGCCCTTCAGTCCGCAGGCCGACGCTCTATCCACTGAGCCACACGGGTTTCAGCGAAGCATGTGCCTTTGAGTACACTCGCACCGCCCGGCCGGCATGACCAGTGACTGAGGATTGACCTAAGAACCAGGAGGACAGGGTTCAGTTCCCGGTCGGGGCACAGGCCCGGGTTGCGGGCTCCATCTCCTGAGTGTGGCGTGCAGGAGGCAGCCGGTCCGTGATTCTCTTTCATCATCGATGTTTCTCTCTCTCTCCCTCTCCTTTCCTCTCTGAGATCAATCAAAAATATATTTGCTAAGAAAGAGAATCCGCCCGATGGCTGCCAGCGGGGATATAATTACAGAGTGTTCTGTGGGGGCTGGAGGCCCATGCTACACGGCATCCGGCCGCCGGAGCGCGGGGATGGGCTGTGGGTGAGGAGGCCCGGCGTTCAGTCTCGCCCCGCGCTTCCCAGGCGCTATCAGGCAACGCCCTTGACCTCCCACACCGTCCTGCAGAGCTAACGAGACCCCGAGGGGCTGCTGCAGGGACAGGCCTCCAGCTCCTCTCCTCTCAGAACACCTCCCGGGGAGGGGGCCAAAGCCTGCCCCCGGTCCTCCCGCCATGGGGAGCGAAGGCTGGGCCCTGCGGTTACAGCAACCATGCAGACTGTGCCCAGCCCGCCCCAGCCCACCCGCCCGCCCGCTGTTCCTCGTGCGGCCTCTGCAGACAGGGGCAGCCGCCTGGCCACAGGGAGTGCTGGGTCACTCGGGACAGAGCTCCCGGGAAAAGCGTGTTCGCGTGGCGTCTGAGGTTAAATAAACAGACGTGTGTGCACACGTGTGACGGCTGTCTGCCCGCAGACCTGCAGGGGCTGAGAGTGGCGGTCGCGTGCTTGGGTCGCATGGGGATCACCATGGCCTTCGAGATGGTCTGCCTGGTCAACGCGGAGCTGTACCCCACCTTCATCCGGTGAGTGCCCGCAGGCGGCGTGTCCTGCCAGAGCCGCGGGGCCAGCACAGACGCCTGGCTTAGGAAGCACGGGGCCCGGGGGGAGCGCCTCCCGCAGGAGCCACGGCACACCGCGGCATGGACACGCTGGGTGGAACAGGGTGGAATAGAACCTGCGGGGACCAGAGGCCCTGAATCGCCAGAGGCGGTTACCCAACAGCCCCAGGGCCGGAGAAGCAGGGGCCCCAGGATGAAAGCAGACAGTGAACATCACCCACACTTTAAAGCTTCCAGACAGCACAAACAGAATGTGTGTCATGTGTGTATGTGTCATGTGTGTGTGGTGTGTCGTGTGTATGTGTGTATCATGTGTCGTGTGTGTGAGAGTGTATCGTGTGTGTGTGCATCTATGTGTCTGCGTGTCTGCGTGTGTGTGTGCTATGGGTTGTGTGTCTGTGTGTGTGCCGTGTGTGTGTCATGTGTGTGTCGTGTGGTGTGTGTGTGTGTGTGTGTGTGTGTGTGTGTGTGTGTGCGCGTGCGCGCGAGCGGAAAGGGCCGTAAACGCCCCTTCCAGTTCCCAGGCGCCTCAGTGGTTGGGGACTGTCCGTGACAGTGGGCCGGGGTCAGGGCTGCTCTGGGGGAAGGTCAGAGGTGAAGGCCGCTCTCCGCGCAGGAACCTGGGCGTCCTCGTCTGCTCCTCCCTGTGTGACCTCGGCGGCATGCTGGCGCCCTTCCTGGTGTACCGGCTCACCGGCGTCTGGCAGGAGCTCCCCCTGCTGATTTTCGGTGAGAAGCCCTCAGAGGTGCCTTTGAATGGAAACCTATTTTTCTAGGGCCTCGTTTTTCGACCTCAAAATAGGTGCCTGTTAGGGACAACTAGTATGACTAGGAACTAGTACTCCTACCAGTGTTGGTAAACCCAGTGTGAGCAATGCAGTCAGCAGCTGCCACTGCTCCGGTCAGGAGCCATCGGCTTCCAAAGTCAAGGTCGGACTGGAGGCGAAGGGCGTTCCCTGCAGGTGCCCTGCTCTCCGCCCGCTCCGTCCTCCCGCCTCCCGTCACAGGGCTCCTCCCTCAGCCTCCAGCACCGCTCTGAGCCTAAAGCAAACAAATAAACGGAGCTCCGCTCCCAGCACTGCACTGGGAACTCAAAGACCCAAACACTACAGGTTTGCTACCCACCCCACCACCACCCCGACATATGCAAAGAATTAGAGCTGCAGACCAAGCGAAAAAAGAACAGGAACGTATGAAACACCTGATTCTTCGAAATCCAAGTCCCGCTACCCTTGTTACCGCAGCCAGCAGCCAGCGGCCGCCTCATTGGCCAGGAACGGCCCAGGCCCCCGGCTGCTTTCCTCACCACATGCTTCCGTTGGCAGGGCTCTGCTCTCGCTTTTCTTAGAATCGGAGTGTGCGCGTTCACGGTTATTTTCCAGCTCCCAAGCATCTTAGCATCGTGGCAGGGTCCTCGCCGAGAATAACCCGGCTCACATGTGAGTGGCCCATTCCTTTCCCTATAAGGACGTGCGGCCCGGTGGGTTCGGATCAGCGGTGTTTACGGCGTCAGGGGCGGAAACGACACAGACAAGATTTAAGGAACGAGGAAGCCCTAATTATAGCGCCTTTTTTTAATGCCGTCTGATTGACGTCAGAGGGGAAGGGAGAGGGAGAGGTGGAAACGTCAGTGAGGAGAGAGAATCGCCTCCTGCACGCCCCCCACTGGGGACGGAGCCCACAGCCCAGGCCTGCGCCCTGGCCGGGAACCGCCCTGTGACCTCCTGGTTCCCAGGTCAGCGCTCGGCCGCCGCGCCCGCCGGCGGGCTGAGGTCCCCCTCACTGTGTCCCCGTCTGCCTGCCTTCCAGCTGCGGTCGGCCTGGTGGCAGGAGGGCTGGTGCTGCTGCTGCCGGAGACCCGGGGACAGGCGCTGCCGGAGACCATCGAGGAGGTGGAGAGCCTGCGGAGGTAGGAGCTGACGTCCCCCGCGCTGCAGCGGGTGGAAGGAAAGACGAGGGGGAATGTGGACCTGAGCCCACACAGGAGGTCGGTTCGCACACAGTCAGACTTGAGAATGCAAAGCAGGAGCCGTAAAATAAGGAAGATGCCACAGGAGACCACCTCTGCTTTCCCAGGGCGGGAGGGCTCGGTACACAGGGCCCGGACTCTGCGACCCACAAGACCCATCAGCATGCCCGTGGGAGCCCCTTTCACGTGCAGAGTGGTTCAGGGGTCAGGTTCAGGGTTCTGGTTCCGGAGGAGGCCGCACACAAAAGAAAGAGACTGGAAAAGCATTCATTTGGGAATACTGGGGGCCAGGTGGGAGCCCACCTCTAGGGGGAGGACTACGCCTTGCTTCGGCCTGGCCCTCGCTTTTATTCAGGTTTGGGACACACCCATTGCCTTTAGGCAGGCAATTCCAGTAACCGGCAGACTATCAGCGAGGATTTTTACAGGATTATTTGGTGGGGAAGTTGCTTCAGCTGCCATTGTCTCAATTAGGTAAGGGCGTGGTTGTCTCTGACCTTCCAGAGCGCCAAGGTTGACCAGCCTTCCTGGTTCCTCGCTCACGTCTTTCCAGCACCTGCCCTCGTAAACATTAAAATTCTGCTTTGAAAAACGACTCTACGCTTAAATAGTACCACAGACTTAGAGAAAACGGGTACTCCGCCACAGAGGGTTAATTTCCCCGAGGTGGAAAGAGCTCTCACAAGTCATAAAAGCAACCACCCAATAGGAAAACATGACAAAGGATTTGAACGGGTAATCCTGAGAACGCAGAAACGGCTCTTAAATATCCGACCTCCTTCCGAGGAAGGCAGGGCAGACACCCCCTGCTCGGATCGCCACGCGGACAGTCAGTGATGGCCCTGCGTGGGGACACCAGTGTCAGGAGGGAAGGTGGGGACGGCGCCCTGTAGTCCAGACTGGAAACCGTGCTGAGGGGCGAGAGGACAACAGGATAAAAGCTGCCGAGGTGCATGCCTTTTACCCTCAATGCCACGCTTCCAGAATTTACACACTGGTATGCAAAACATGTGTGCCAGACTATTCGCTAAGGTAATTCTTCGTACGATGACAGAAGGCTGGAGACAACCCAAACGCCAGTTGATGGGGAGACCAGTTATATAAACGATGGCACGTGATTCAACGGAATGTCACACGGCCATTGGAAGGAGCGCAGCCTGGCTGGTGCTCTGTGAGCCCAATCTGGGCCCGCGCCCTCGCAAGGAATGGAGTGATACTCACCCCTGAGCCTCCCGGCTGGGCTCAGTGCGTACTTTTTGGTACCTTCTGGATTTTGAGCCATACACACCTACTTGAACAGTAAACTTTTTTGAACATTTAAGAGAGATGTAGATGGCATACTTCCCACAAGTTTGTTTTGTGCTGTGTGCGTCGATGTTGTTCTTTATCTTATCCAGACACCATCCGGGCCCTGGCGCCAGGTGTGTCCACTCTGTACCTTGTGCACTTGAGCACGTTCCGGACGGAGCCGTCCTGAGGAACCGCGGTGTCTGGGCCTCCAGAGCTGGGAGCGAGCGTTGGATGAGGCCTTTTTTTTTTTTTTTTTTTTTTTAATATATTTTATTGATTTTTTACAGAGAGGAAGGAGAGAGGGATAGAGAGTTAGAAACATCGATGAGAGAGAGATTGATCAGCTGCCTCTCGCACACCCCCTAGTGGGGATGTGCATGCCCTTGACTGGAATCGAACCTGGGACCTTTCAGTCTGCAGGCCAACGCTCTATCCACTGGGCCACACCGGTTTCGGCTGGACGAGGCCTTTGAATTCAGCCGGAGGCCGCACTGGCCGCCGCAGGACGCCAGCGTCTCAGCGCTGAGCTCGGCCCACATGCTGGCTGTTCAGTGGGAAATTCCACCCTCGCTGGACTTCCAGCATCTGGGAATGTAAACAAACAGGCAGAGGATTGGGTAACGCTGAGAAGGCACTTCCTCCCTCTGACAACTAGCAGGTGCTGAGTGACGGCTCCACGTTTGGAGGGCATGCCCCCGCCCCCCCTCCCCCCCGTACCCCACATTCCCTGTTCTCTAGTGCCTGGTGACATTGCAGTTTGAGGTCCTTGACCCAGATGCCCGTCCCCCGATCTCAGTGCAGTGTCCGTCCTCCCCCTAAGGACAGACTGCATCCCGTGCATGTCCTCTCCCAGGGCCACACAGAGCAGGTGCACACAGGCCGCCCGGAGTACTGCTGAGCTCCTTCCACAGTGCTCCTCCCTCGGGCCCTGGGCCTCGCCCAGCCAGCCGCCAGGCCTCGGTTTCCTCCTCTGGAAGTGGGCTGGCCTGGGTTTCCGTAACACCTGGCACTTGGTCTGTGTCCAGTAGCCGCTGGGATCGTTCACAAAAGCCCTCACGGCTGCCCCCGGGACAGGACCTGTGGGCTGCGTGCTTTATGGGAACCGGCTTTCAAAGCACGTTCAGCTCGGTGTGAGGCAGAGTGCCGCTCAGGGAGGTCCATGTACACCTGCACCGGTCTCAAGGCCACCACCGACAGGAACATGTCACGTCAGGAGAGCATGTCGGGGTGCAACAAAATGAGGAAAACAGCTTTCCTCCGGGAGTCAGCCACAAAGACAAGCTGATTCGGACACGGGCCACGTGAGCAGATTCGTGAGCAGATTTTTCACGTTTCTGACTGCTGAAAAGTAAATGAGCGTTGGTAAGAACTAATTCCCACACTCTCTTTGGAGGACTGATGGTCACGGTGTCTGGGTTCTGCAATCTTCATCTTTAACTGGAAAAGATTCACCGTAGACATTTCCCACTCCTGGCGACGGAGGAGAGGAGCACCTTAAATACCGGCTCAGGCCGGCTCCCTCTCACACGGAGACGCAGGAAGCAGTCCAGCCGCATGGCTGCTCGCCAAGCTCTGCTCACGTTCCCTGTGAGAATCCCCACCTGGAGCTCACTGCGCGAGGCATGCAGGCTCTGCCTGGTCTTTTTTTCTTTTTCTTCTTTCCTTTTTTTTTTTTACAAAGAGGAAGGGAGAGGGATAGAGAGAAAGATCAATTAGAGAGAATCATTGATCCGCTGCCTCTTGCACACCCCCTACTGGGGATGTGCCCGCAACCAAGGTACATGCCCTTGACCGGAATCGAACCTGGAACCTTTCAGTCCGCAGGCCGACGCTCAGGCGTCCTCAAACTTTTTAAAGTGGGGGCCAGATCACGGTCCCTCAGAGAGCTGGAGGGCCGGACTATATGAACTACTAATTCCTACTGTAACACCTCGGCTGCGCTCACTGCCCAAAAAACCTGGCGGGCCGGATCAGACTCCTCTGCGGGCCGCATGTGGCCCGCGGGCCGTAGTTTGAAGACGCCTGCATCCACTGAGCCAAACCGGTTAGGGCCTGTGTCTTATTGCCTTTATTTATTACCCCTGTGACTTTGGTATCCAGTCTACTCATGAATGCTCTCCCCCGTCTCCGACTGTTTTGCAGACCGAGGAAACACAGAGAAAAGAAGATCTACCTTCAAGTCAAGAAACAAGACATCCCACTGAACTGAGCGAGATCCGCTCTGCACGCGCTTCGACAGCACCGGCTACAACCAGATCCTGCTCTTACCCAGAGCCCACACACCCCCTTCCTTGTCTGTGAACCCCCGGAACCCAGACCTACCCCGAGTGGAGACGCTGCACGGAGGTGTCGCCCTCCACCTGCGGGACCAGATCCGCAGCCCCAGCCCCTCCTCCCCAGCGTTCCTCGGACAATGGCCTTGGGTGTGCTGGGGTCTTCATTCCCACTCCGCGTTTCTTTATTTTACTCCATTCTCCGCATGGATATCAAATCAAGACACACAGGGGTGTTGTGAGCCAGGGAAACAGAACAGATCTAAAAAGCAATAAACTTGGACACAGAGAGCCTGTTTTCTTAAAGCAACGAAACAGCCAGAGCAATAGCAAGCTGTCCAGACGCATGCCAAGAGCTTTCGTCTCTTCGGCATCGCAGGTGAAGAGGGATTGGAACACGTGGGTCACTGTCTGAATTAGGACTTAAGAGCCTGAAGTAGAAGGATCAGGAATGGCCACTGAGCAGCCCCTGGGTCTCTGTGTTTAGAGCAGACAGTGCCAACGTGTGCTTCCTACAGATCCTGTTGTCAGCAAACCGCGGCTCTGTGGCCCCTGGAGTGTGGCTCTTCCGCAAAACGCCACGGCCTGGGCGAGTGTATGTTGAAGAAGTGGCGTTAGAAGAAGTTTAAGTTAAAAAACTTGACTCTCCAAAGGAATTCCAGTCGTTGTCCTGTTGGTATTTGGCTCTGCGGACTGACGAGTTAGCCGGCCCCGGGGCTAGGAGCCACGTTTGTGTTGCCTCCTTAACGCACAGGTGACACCGTTCAGTCTGATGAAGGTGTGTCTCGCTGTTAGAGTGAAGATAGTGTGCCCATATTTTACCAAAGGAATACAGCAGGCAGGTTTTTAAAGCTAATCCTCCCAGACGTATACTGGAAAACAGAACGTTACCTTCGTCTGCCCTGCCAGCTCCTCAAAGGTCATTTTCACCAATGTCAGCTGTCCTTTCCCTTTGATTTACCCTCATGGATCTAAATAACTTACTTTATGTTAACACTTGTTGATTTTTGAGTTTTAATGACCACCTATTAGCTTTTAAATACACACTATGAAAAGTGAGCTCTCCTCACCTCTCCCTTCATCCCATCCACAACTTCTCTCTCCCCTTCACACCTTGTTTTTTCCGTTTTTATTAAATCAGTCAACCTCCGGGCACACCCTCGTGCGTGTCATTAATGTCAAAGCCGGGCCACCTGGGGGGCTGTGGCGCTCCTTCCCTGGCCCTCGGCCCTCCAGGACTCCGTTACCAGGCTCCCTCTCTGCGTGTGCATGCCCCCCCCACCCCCGCACCCCAGCACTCCGGGCTGGCTCCTGCGCCTTCCTCCGCGGTCTCCAGGCCGCTGCCCACCTGCTGCCGTGCGCTCCCCCCCCTCCCCCCGAAGCTCCAGCCTTTCTCGGGCGAACCCCTGACCCTGAGTCCCAGGCCATCCTCGCTCCAGGGTTTCTCCCTCATTTGGAAGAAGCGCCTCTTCCAATGCCCCCCCGAGGCAAAGCACACACTGTCCCTGTGACCCTCTCCTGACATCAGGGTCACACCACAACTCCCGGCCTGGCCCTGCCATGGCTCCCAGAGCCCCATCCGTCCCTGCCTCCCCACCCACCACCCCACCCCCCCAGGCCCCTGGTAGGAAGTGGGAGCAGGAAGCCAGCATCCCCTCACAGGAAGAGGTCTGGCCCACCAGCAGGATGGGCTGCAGAGGCGCCTGGCACCCCCACGCAAGAGCCGGCTCTGGGCCCGTGAAAGTGCCCTCTCCTCCCTTGGCATAGCCTCCTCCCCTCTCCTCCCCTCCCCTCTCCTCCCTTCCTGTCCCCTCCCCTCTCCTCCCCTCCCCTCTCCTCCCCTCCCCTCTCCTCCCCTCTCCTCCCTTCTGTCCCCTCTCCTCTCCTCTCCCCCCCTCCTCCCCTCCCCTCCTCTCCTCCCCACCTCTCCCTCTCCTCTCCTCCCCTCTCCTCCCTTCCTGTCCCCTCTCCTGTCCCCCCTACCTCTCCCCTCTCCTCCCCTCCCCTCTCCTCTCCTCTCCTCCCCTCCTCTCCTCCCCACTTCTCCCTCTCTCCTCCTCCCCTCTCCTCCCTTCCTGTCCCCTCTCCTCTCCCCCCTACCTCTCCCCTCTCCTCCCCTCCCCTCCTCTCCTCCCCACCTCTCCCTCTCCTCTCCTCCCCTCTCCTCCCTTCCTGTCCCCTCTCCTGTCCCCCCTACCTCTCCCCTCTCCTCCCCTCCCCTCTCCTCTCCTCTCCTCCCCTCCTCTCCTCCCCACTTCTCCCTCTCTTCTCCTCCCCTCTCCTCCCCTCTCCTCCCTTCTGTCCCCTCTCCTCTCCTCCCCTCCTCTCCTCCCCTCTCCTCCCTTCCTGTCCCCTCTCCTCTCCCCCCTCCTCTCCTCCCCACCTCTCCCTCTCTTCTCCTCCCCTCTCCTCCCTTCCTGTCCCCTCTCCTCTCCTCTCCCCCCCTCCTCTCCTCCCCACCTCTCCCTCTCTTCTCCTCCCCTCTCCTCCCTTCCTGTCCCCTCTCCTCTCCTCTCCTCCCCTCCTCTCCTCCCCACTTCTCCCCTCTCTTCTCCTCCCCTCTCCTCCCTTCCTGTCCCCTCTCCTCTCCTCTCCTCCCCTCCTCTCCTCCCCACTTCTCCCCTCTCCCCTCCTCCCCTCTCCTCTCACGGCCAGTTTGTAAGCAGCATCTGCATGAAACTGCCTTTGACACACCTGTGCTGGCTTCTAGCTGGCTGAGTAGACACGCCCAGGAAAGCAATGCCCAAATACGGGAATCGAGGGCCCGTCAAATGGCACGATTGGGGTCAGCACATCGATGCCGCTGACATCTCCAAATTACTTTGCTGATTTTATTTTTTTAAACAGATTTTAATTCATTTCAGAGAGGAAGGGGGAGGGAGTGAGAGATAGAAACATCAGTGATGAGAGAATCATGGATCTGCTGCCTCCTGTCCCCCCCTCCCATCCCCACTGGGGAGAGAGCCCCCAACCCAACCCAGGCCTGTGCCCTTACCAGGGACTCAACCATGACCTCCTGGTTCATAGGTGAACACTCACCCACTGAGCCCCGCCCGCCGGGCAAGAATTTTGCTTTTTAATGCCGACCCTCGTCTCCCCTGGCAGGTGCAGCACATAACGGCCTTTAACTACCAATGCCTCTCCTCAGGCGCAGGCACAGGACAGCCCTGACCAGGGCTCATCCACACCGAGGCTGTGCCTTCAGGGTCTGGCCTGGGGTCTGGCCCTCTCCCATCCGAATGCCATCCTGGGCTGCTCTCTCACCACCAGACCCCTGGCTGACCCAGCGCCCGCTGATGCCAAGCCAGCCCGCTCTGGTGCCTGTCCGAAGCTGAGAGAGCGGGACTATGCCAGGATGGTGGAGCAGGTGAGCGGGCAGCACCAGGTGTGAGTGAGGCCTGATCGCCCGCCAATCGCCTCACAGATAGTGACTGGTGGCAGTGGGGTGGGGGGCGGAGGGAGGGGCCGCCGCCTGGCTCCTAGGCACTGAGGGAGCCAGGCAGGGGCCCAATGACTCAGGCAGGGAGGGGGTGCATGGGGCCCAGGGCACAGATGCTGCCCAGGGCCCAGAGGTCACCTGGGACCTGCCCTTCCATGCCAGGCGCTCATACTCCCATCACTGGCCAGGCCTAGAAACTGCACCTGTGCACGAATTTCATGCACCGGGCCTCTAGTTTACACATGATTCTGAGTCTTTCCTGGCCATCTCTTTGATCCAGTCATTGTAGCAAGTAGCTAAACCTGCTTTCCTAACCAAGACAAAATACAACGTAATCACTAATCAAGGCAGCCAGCCGTCAAGGGAAGATCTCACCAGTTCCTTTTCTAGGAGGCAGTGAACTACAGTAACTTCGTAAATGTTTATGAACACGGGCACAGAGTGTACTCAGAATGCCTCGGTCACTGAGGAGTCCGGCTCTCCTGACGTTCGAGGAAACAACGCTAATTCCCAATTAATCCTTTAAAAGAAAATCATAACGTAATCGGATTAAATGAACTATTTGTTTTTATTTATTCAAACCAGATGATGATGATGATAAAAATCTGGTACTAATTACGTGAAAATGGGACATAGAATAACTTATCTTCTTTTTCTGGCAAACTCCTAAGAAACCAAGGTCCCAGTGTTTAGGAGGGGGCTGCATGCTCGCTTGGCTGTGTTGTAACCTCACCAGGTCAAGGAGATTATGCAAGACAAGAGCGCTCCTCCCTAGCATCGGCAGCGATAACCAGGGCGCCTGGCCAGCCCTGTGCAATGGCCGGCTTTGGTGAACTGCACTAGTCCACATGCTGGCGGCTGACCCTGGGGTCCGAGCCACGGGGACGCACTGCAGGGTGGTCTGCGGCTGCGAGGGTGAGCCTGGTCAGAGCGGGGTCCGACGGGCAGCGACAAGAGCAAAGTAAGAGAAATGCTCAGGGGGACACAAGCTCTGCTCCACCTGTGGGGAACCCCAACTCCATGGCACCCCTGGGATCAACCAAAATCATACGGCCTGCCTTTGGCTCTCGTGGCGGCCACGGTGGGAGGCTCTGCTCTCCTTGGAGAAAGACACTGCAAACAAAACATCTGGAAGGACACGGATGGTCACTTCCTATTGACTTGGGTCCTGGGAGGCCCAGAAGACACACAGCGGGCCAGGGCTTACATCATGTGCAATCCAAAGGACAAAATAAACTCGTGAACAAAACAGGCCCAGAGACAGGGAAGCATGGAGCAGGCTGTGGAATCTCAGAGGGAAGGCGGAGGGTGGGAAGAGACCAGCCAGTGAACGTGTATGCATGGATGCATGGCCCTGGACACAGACAGAGTGTGGTGAGGGCCTGGGCCCAGGCGGCTCCTCTGACACGTGGGGCAGAAACTCCCCATGCGCTGAGGGTGCTGGCTGCGCACCTCTTCTTAATTGTGATAAAAAAAACACTTGGCGTTGACCAGCTTAACCACTTGACCGTTCGGCTACATTACGCCCACTCACAGGTGTGCAGCCATCACCGCCATCGTCTCCAGAGCTTTCATCTTCCCACACGGAAGCCCTGTCCTCACTAAACACTGCCTGACCCCTCCACCCCCCATCCATATAGCCACCCTTCTCTGTCTATGGACTTGACTGCTCAGGGTTGGGCTTGATCCCCAGCAGGGGTTGTGCAGGAGGCAATTGATCATGATTCTCTCATCATTGATGTTTGTTTCTCTCTTTCTCTCTCTCTCTCTCTCTCTCTCTCTCTCTCTCTCTCTCTCTCTCTCCCCCCCCCATCCCCCCGTCTCCCTTCCTCTCTGAAAAGAATCCTATCTAATAAAAGGGTAATATGCAAATTACTCCATCACAAATATGGCGGCCCTCATAGCCACAAGATGGTGGCGCCCAGTCCCCTCAGCCCCGCCGGAGCCCCCCAGTCCCAAGGGAGGGCAGTGTGAGCAGCCTGGCGGAATGCTTTCTTGTCACCACAGCAATGAGGCAAGCCTTCCCACTGGGCCAGATGGGCCTCTGGGCGTGGGCTCAGAGCAGCCAGGCCC